AGTAACCATATGTAATTGGCCTTTTTCATTCAACAGAATTTCCTGGAGATTCACCCAATGTCAATAATTTATCCTTTTCTCTTTTTTTTGGCTGCGTAGTATTGAATTGTTTAACTACTCATCTCTCTTGCGCCCTCTCCCTTTTTTATTTTTCTTTTATTATGATTGGAGTGAATTTTATAGAGCAAATTCATTTCTCATTCAGTGATTTGTACCCATTTATTTGTGACATTGACTGCATTCCCCACAATGCCACCCTACTTTTATATCTCTTCATCCTTCCCTCCTATCCTTTTATGTCTTCTGAGCTTTATTCCTGGGCAAATGCTAGTGTTTTGATCTCATGTGGTTGGTTGTTCAAATGAGTGCCTACCTCCCTGGTGTTATCTTTCACCTTATAGTCCGTCTATTCTTTGGTTGGAAATTGAGCAACACGCATGACTTCAATGCCAGGTCTGAAGTGTCTCGAAGTTCATAATCTTGGGCTTCTACCAATCTCTGTTGGACCAGAAGCCTGGTTATTTTTCTTTTTTTGAATTGTGTTCCGCAGTTTTCTCCCACTCTATTCAGAAGTTCCTATTGGGATCCCTTTCAGAGTAGTCAGCAGTGGGTAGGGGTGCACCATCTAGTTTGTCTTATGGAAGTCGGGGTTCAGGAGATCTGTTAGTTCTTAGGACTAATCGTTCCCATGCATTTTAGATTTTCTTCACTATTCTTTGTTCCAGACAGGAAGAGACCAATAGTTCCGCCTTAGTTGGCCACTCACAGTTGCTTATCACTAACATAGAATGCAGAACATCTCTTCGGAGTATGTTATGACAATTGACCTTGATGTTCTCTGGAACTATGGCCCTTAGACCTCAGATTCAGCAACTCATTCTCTTAAGGTGTTTGATTACAGCTAGGAAGTTTTTACAACTTTGCTCCCTGAATGTTCTATTACATTCATGGATATATTTGCAACACTCACAGATACATATGCAAAAATAGCCTCTGTCAAACCTATATATATATTTGCCTTTCTACCCCTGCTTAGCTTGAGTGTCTATGTATGTTCTTGTAGATTATTGTTATTACGAGCATTATGGATTGTATATGTCATAATATTTACCTATATTGCCTTTAACTTTTGTGATCTTCCCATTTTGTGTTGACCTCCCCTTATTGTATATTACCTT